GATAATCTTCGGGATAATTTGCACTCACCTTTACACAGATCGCTCTGGTTTCTGGTCGAGCTCCCGGTGCCACAGACAAACGTGCCAAGCCGGGCAGAATGAGACAGATGAAGTCGCGGCGCCTCGACTCCACCAATTCCGAGTGCTGACTCAAATCTTCAATGATCGTCAAGGTGACACCTAGCAGTTGATTTTCCGTGGTCCCCGGTTGATGTAAGCCAGCAATACCTTGATACGAGAAGTGAATCAGAACGGGTGAAACGAAGTTAGCATACACTTGGGGTGTTCATTGCAGCCTTGCGAGGAGACATTAAATGAATAAACATCCTATAGTTCTAGAAACTAACAGAAAGACATGAAAGTTCTGCTGTTTCCAAATGGTAAGGCTTGTGATGAGAGTAATCACAAAAAAACAATCAGTTTTAGTTTCCAGTAGACTAATGTTGCAGCTTGACCACCCTTGGCTTTCTTCCATTCACTACCTGTCTCGGCAAGCATCGCTCGCTGTGGCAATCTATCTGGCGATATGCGTAACATATGCCCTAAACAACGTAATCTATGGAGGTCGACCATTTGCTCTAGTGGACGACTGCGATTACCTAAAACTATGGAAAACTATGCAACAATGATAAAAACCTGAACAAAAAAGTTCCGTTCTGTTGACTTCGTAGAGCTGAAAGATACATGAATTATAGCAACAGATGCCAGCAAACAAACTGCAATATTAAATGATGAATTCCGTCATGTACAGGGCCAAGGACACACGAACTTGAGGGCCCTGAAGCAATGTATTTTTTCATACAGACTGAAGAACGCGGTTCAGACCGTTTTCGACTAGTGACAACCTTGGAGGTTATTGCGAAGATGAGCGAGGTCTGATGCTAGTTACAAAGATGAACTGTGTCGCATCGTGGATGGACAAAGTGAAACAGCTCGATTAGCCGGCTCTGGTGATCAAGCGGGGATTGTATGTCTGCCGTGCTAGATTTCCCAGTTTCAGTGGATGGATTTGCACTATCGACGAAGCCCAACAGGGGCGAAACAACAGTTATATAGAACAACCCGGCTTATATGACTTATATATGGGACGCAGACTCGAACTAAAAAAGAGAGGCGCTCCAGCAATTTGGCAATTTTAAGACATGAGTTATGTGTCTTGGTGCTGCACGTTTGATTGCTGCCTAGAAAAAAAATATCCATCAGAAAAAAAACTACAACGTAGTCTACCCATTCGAATTGCAGGAGAATGAAAAATAATGACCCCACAGGAGAAGCACCCATGCACACTGAAATCTAATGGTCAGTGACTCCCGGCTATTGTATATAACTCTCTGCTATGTGTGTGTCAATGACTGGCCGCTTCAACCTAGTTAACAAGCATACTGTAAGTACCCTTTGATCCGCGGCACTACACTAATCTATCTCTCGCTGACTGTCGAATTGGAATCTAAACCGCTGATTCGCCATGCTCACTGGTAGTGCTTACATAGGAAAACGGGATTTTTTTACTTGTTAGAAATCTAACCATGTGGTCTGCTATGTGTGAACTGAAGTTCTATCGAATCACGAAACCCAGGAGTGCAGGCTGTGTAACAGCTTTTGTTCACACAATTGTTATTATTTTATTTCAATACGTAACCGACTACAGAGAACTGGCAAATGTGCCACAACACATGAACAAAAAGGAAATCTGCAGAATGTGTTCATAAGTTATTTGAGCATGTTACTTCCCTGTTGCCCTGACCGAGGAAGAGGGATAACCTCGGAGTCCCCACCCGAAGCCTTTGGCCGGAAAGCCAGATATGCAAGACAAAAGGACGGAGCTCAGAGTCCGCAGTCCAATGGGGACCGGTGTTCAATTGGTTGGATCATGAACCCTTTGGACCGGGTCAAACGTCCAAGGTGTCCAATACACCTTGATGCCTAATCCAGCCGGTGACCACTGCCACAAACAGAAAAGTGTGCGTGTAGTTCGTACGCCTCTTCTTGGTTGGTTTGGAATCAGAGTTTTTAGCCAACTCCCGTGAGTGGTTCACCAACCCGGCTATATCCCCAGATGCAAGTACCTTAGTGTCGTTAGGAACGGTTCCTTATTTCAACCGAACCTATTTCCTAATCATAGAGGGGCGGATCGGACAGGACGGACTCAGAAGAGATAGCCTATCAGGGACCGCTCGGCAAGCGATTAGAACAAACAGGAATTCTAAAGTACTATAACAGGGAACCCCAGATCAATTACATGGCCAGTCCAATGGGAAAACAGTAGAAAAGTGGAATATTTATTTCCCGAGATAAGCTTGACGAGGAAACACAACAAAGCAAGGTTGCATTATTTGTGACAAGGTATATGGCGCTGCATTGCAACTGGTACAATAAGGCTTAGGATCGTATATGCTAACACCAATCCCCGGTTGCTTAGGTTTGTAGGTTCGTCAGTTGCAACGATGAGATGTAAGAGATGTAAGCCTGGACTGTACGTGCAAAAAGAACAGTCAGTCACACTGATACTGCCTTGCCAGTGTTAGAAAAAACTGTGCTCATTCGACCATGTTGTATTAGGGCGTAACTGATAGTAGCCATTACAGTTTAGTTCCCTGATGAAATACTTGCACCGTATCTCAACCGAGATGAAATCTATATGGTTACGTTCTACGATCAATCTGTTAAGCACTTGGCTCGGTGAGAGTTTGAATCGCGTCAATTTAGCAT